TGTCATACCTCCACCTTTGCATGCAGGAGAGGTTACAGTTTAATATGATGATCTCATTACATGCACAGGTGGACATAATGGGCTTCTGTGTTTTCTAGAGCTGCTCTTCTTCCTTTAGAATAGACCTCTCGTTATTTCATGAGACGCAGGCTGACTGATGCCACTCTTTCCCACATTGTTTCCTTCTTCAGTTCTTCCTGGTTTTTTTTGTTTTTTGTTTTTTAATTTAGCCTTCTCTTTCAGACTTCCCACCTAACTCTAAGACCCTATATATACGTTGATAATTTTATCTGTTCTACAGGAAACTTCCTAATAAAACTAGGCTGACTATGCATTCTTAAGACTAATTTTCGGGGGGAATCTGTAAGATACGGTCCTTACCTTCTTACCTCCAGCCTCAGCCCTCCTGGCATCTTCTGTGTTGGGGCATCTTTGGATCTAGCGCAGGCACTGTGTTACCTGCTGTGTGCTATAAGTCACGGTGAGTTTGGCACTTCAGTTGTACTAGTCTGACTAGGGCAGTTTGTACAATTGTACTTTTCTTGCATCTTTCTTTCCCGTACCTCTCCTCCTTTTGGGGTTATCTAGCTAAAGTTGTGGTGCAGCTTCCCGGCTCAGTATATAAATATCTCACTTGGATTTTACTGTGGCAGCTAACCTCATGTACTTGCCAACCAACTCTGAGTATCTTCTTAGAATTCTGCTGGGGCCTGGGCCAGAAAGGGTGAAAGGGACTAAGGGACCTAGGAGACTAGGCAGAAATCATGGATCCTGGGAAGAGTTATGAGCACAGGTTACACTAGTGACTAGATAAGGAAGAAAATGTACGTGTGAGAAGAGAAAGGGGTGCGTGCGTGTGTATTTAAATTAGAGCACAGTAGCTACCCGGAGGAGTTTCAGTTGACTGGTTACCTGAAACTAGTCAAGTTACAACTGGAATTACACAGCCTTCGTCATGGTCAGTGTGTTAATAGAGCTTGCTGTGAGTGCACCTCTCCCTCTGATAGTAGTTAGTACAGAGACCAACTGCAAAAAACAAAAACAAACGTCACTACTTAATATCACTACTTGATATTAAGTGACTACTTATTTTTCCTCTCAAGTGTTAACGTGTAGGCCATGCAGTCAACTGTGAAGTGATTTGAAATGCTTTGTGAATTACAATATCTGAGATAAGTTGGTGAGACTACATATTATGTAGGAAGCCATCATCAGTTTAGACCTAAACAATGTCCTGAGTAAGGTCCTTGCAGCCATATAAGCTGTACCTTGTTTTGAGAAGGAAAAACAGAACTACTGCAACCAGCTAGGCTGTGGTGTCCCAGGTGCCTGTGACTCTAATTCATGATCTCACAGCCTGGTGGTCAGAGTTATATGCTTACATCAGAGCTTTTAGTAGAATTCTGAACTATGTTTTGAAAAGCAAAGCATTATTGTCAGTGATTCCTTAAAATTACCTGAGTTTATAAGATACCACATTGACTACCCTGTTGGTTCTGTCTTCAAAAAAATAGCAAAGAACCGGCCAGGCGCGGTGGCTCAAGCCTGGAATCCCAGCACTTTGGGAGGCCGAGATGGGCAGATCACAAGGTCAGGAGATCGAGACCATCCTGGCTAACTCGGTGAAACCCTGTCTCTACTAAAAAATATAAAAAACTAGCCGGGCGAGGTGGCGGGCGCCTGTAGTCCCAGCTACTCGGGAGGCTGAGGCAGGAGAGTGGCATAAACCCGGGAGGCGGAGCTTGCAGTGAGCTGAGATCCGGCCACTGCACTCCAGCCTGGGCGACAGAGCGAGACTCCGTCTCAAAAAAAAAAAAAAAAAAAAAAAAGCAAAGCACCGCTGTAGAACTGCTTCTGAGCTTTTCAGTTGTCTTGAATGTAGCAACTCAAAACCAAAAGGAGCCATCATTATGTATCAAGAGACAGAAATAAATACCCTATTCTCATTTTCTCTTTTTCTGTGTTTGGGGAGGAGGAGATAAAAGACCCTTCTCTTCTTGCTCTTTAAATGTACTCATGATCCATTCTCAAACCAGCTTTACCTCTGTGTTTTATTTCAGTTGCCAAATCAGGAAGGATCCTTGACTACAGTTTTCTTTTTCATCACCACACCCATTCATTCACCAAGTTCTTTCAGTTCTTCCTCCTAAACATCTCTAGATTCTATCCACTTACCAGCACACCCACTCCCTGGCCACCATCATTTCTCACCTGGAATTCCACAGTCTCAATTTTATTCTCCTCTAATGCTTTTCTATACAATCAAAAAAATATTTCTAAAACATAAGCCTGATATGTCAGTCCATTGCTTATAACCCTTTAGTGGCTTTTTATTACCTTTACAATAAAATTTTAACTCATGAAATTTGTAAGACTCTTTACGTCCAAGTTCCTTCATCACCTCTTCTAATTCATCTCGCCTACCACTCCACTGACATTGACACCAACACCACTTTATTTTAATTCTTATTGACCGTTCCTGCAGTGTCCCTGAATGTTCACATCTCTGTGTCTCCTAATTTTCAGTATACTCTCCTTAGAACACTTTCTTCCACCTTTTTCACTGGTTAACTGTTGTTCATGTTTCAAGTCTCAGGTTAAGTGTCACTTCCTAAATTTAGGAGACTGTCCTGTCTCCCTAGGTCCATTTAAGAGTCAAGATAGGCTGAGTTATGCTGCATTAAAGAACAACCCGAAAAATCTCAGTGGCTTAACACAACAAAGTTTATTTTTTATTCACCTACTATATCTCCATCATGGCTGAGACAGTGAGTTCTGTTCATTATATTTTCTCAGAGACTCAAGCTAATAGTTAATGGAGACTCCATCTTACATGTGATTCCATGATAGCCAAGGCAGGAAAAGGAATATGGTGAATCATGCAGTGACTCCTAAGGCTTCTTTCAGAAAGGGATATATTTCCCTCATATTTCATTAAGTAAAGCAAGCCCCATAGTTATGCCTAAGTTCCAAGGCACTGGGGAAATACTGCCTACCCTGTGCCCCCATATCATCTTGTATTTCCCCTAGCCTAATAATGTCATGCTTTATTATAATTACAACGACTTAGCTTAACTCTAACTTTGTGGCTGGATCTCTTATTTATTATCCTCTGCAGTGCAACCGTTAATGTAAGAATTCAAAAATGTTGGTAGTGAATGAATAAGGCGCCTCCAAGACTCAATCACTTAGGCACTTTTTCTTCTTCTACCATTTCTTTCATGGGGATGCGTCCTTTTGTCATGGTTTCAGCAGTCCTGAGAGTGATTTCATTCCCTGACTTCAATCAGGTCTCTCAATTTCTCCATAAATATTTCTACTTGAATTTAATCATAAATTTATTCTTTTAGTAAATACCTCTTAGTACTCTCTAATAAGGCATTATGTTAAATGATGTAAGGATACAGAGGTAATTAAGACAGTACCCACCATCTGAGGGCTTGCAATCTAGTATGGCTAAATAAGGCATTATATTAAATGATATGAGGATACAGAGGTAATTAAGACAGTACTTACCATCTGAGGGCTTGCAATCTAGTATAATACAAGAACAGTACAATGCATCAATAATATATACACGTAATATACAAAATCCTGTGCCAAAGGAGAAGACAAGTGATTTATGGCAAGATTGAATTGAAACTTGTATTCAACCATTGAACCTGTAGAGCAGACATCATTACTGAATTCTGTTCTGTGCTGGGCACTAGACGTAACACGAACAGAGTAAAGCTTTTATCCACCTCACGGTCCAGTGGGGAGACAGATAGCTTAGGATGAAAGGATAGATGGGGTTTAGACAGAGTGTAGGAGGGTGATTAGGGGGTAAAGGGATGGTGCATAGGAAAGCATTTTCACCAGAGGGGTAGACCTGATTAAATATCTGAAGAAATTGTCTGTATTTATGCCAGGAAAGATGTAAGGAAGGAACTGAATCAAGATGGTCACAGTGAGACTCTATTATGGTAACATTTCTTAATTGTTAGGAATACTTTAAAAACCAAGTATACACAGGTTGTTTTTAAACCTAACATGAAAAATAGTTAATATCGTGAGTTTGATTTTATTTCTGCACCTAATTACAAATCTTCAATGGTTAAAAGATACCCAGAAAGGAATATATGCCATTCCAAGCAAGATGTTGGTGTGGGTGGGGATAGGGTTTACTATCTTGATGTACTGAGGTTGGTTATCAACCAGAGAGACTGGGCTGGGATGCAGAAACTAATTCTTACTCATGACACCAATGAGATTTCCTGAGCCCCACCTATAGTCTCTGGAATAGGACCTTCATTTCCAAAAAGGCTAGTCTCAAGGCCTTGAGTACTTCTGTTCAACTTGCAGTTAAGCTAATTCTTCTATCTGATTTGAAATTACTACATCCTTGCCAGGCTAAAACAGTTCCTTCACTGCTTAATTTCATTCTCATTTCCTTGTCCATCTTAAGACAGTGCATTCATATCTTTTGTCTGGTTTTATACGTACATCTATCTGATCCTTCATGCTCAACCTTTAATTCTTTTGTAAACTCTTTTACCATTATGGTCTGATTTGAGTTGACAGAATTCTGATCTTTTGGTGTTATTTCTGCTTAACAGAGCCACAATTCCTACAGACAGTAAAATGACATCCAGTTTTATTTTACACCTTTCTTATGGCTCCATCTAGCTCTTGAGTCCTGCAGGACACTAAAGTCCTGCTCCTGACACAGATACCAGAGACCAGTGTGATAGAAGTGATGGGACGTGTCAGTTGATTAATGATCAGCTAGTCCCCAGCATGCCCAGGTGTGACACACACAGCTGTTAGTGCTGAAAACAGCCTTAGCCTGCTCTCTGTTCAGCTGTGATCCAGTTGTGTCAGTTCTAATTTATTATAGTCCAAAGTGTTGCTGTTTTCCTGTGCTTTGTTTAGTATTGCTCAAGAAATAACTAAACTTCTTGGAAATTGTCATAACTATGGAGGACAGTGAGATAATAAATGACTTTGTTTTCTTTCAGATCTTTGATGATGCATACAAATCCCAGCTCAGTTGTGTGGTTGTGGATGACATTGAGAGATTGCTTGGTGAGTCCTAACTTCTGCTGTTGTATTATCTTTGCCACATTACAGCTAATATCTCAAAAGTTACAAGAGAAAATTAACAGGTATTTATAAACTGTAGAGCAATAGAAATACCTTTCTTTGTCTTATAAGGAAATATAACATCTCTTAAATAGCTGACATCAGTGATAGTATTCGTTTTAATATGCCCTGTGACTATTAACAACATTATAAACTGCTTTCTTGTAAGGGCCCACGTCTCATTTTGTATCCTCCAGTGTGCTCTTGCCATAGTAAATGATTAATAATTTTCATTGATGGGTATATCTGTTATTTAGGACCTCTGAGCTGCCTATAGCTCAGAAATCCACTTGTGAACTTTGACAGAGCTAATGAAAGAAGGGTTTAGGATCACAGTGAAATCCACAAATTCACTAAAACACTAAGGGCAGAAGTTGTAAGCTCTCTGCACCTCAGTTTGTGCTCTTACAAAACAGAGACTGTAATCCCTCTCTTGCTTATCCCACAGAGTAATTGTGAAGACAAAAATGGGATAATAAATCTTGAAAAAATTTTGTAAGTTAAAAGTGCTCTATAGTAATTTTTAAAATATGTATTAAATATCTCCTATGTTGAAGTGCACTCCTACAGGATACAAACATGAAAAAGACTTGGTCCTGGCACTTAACTCATAAGAAATAAACGGCAAGGAAGTGCCAGAAAGTTGTCGCTAATTTAATTTCACTGTAAAATTAAATCAGTCTGACATAAATTCATTACAACAATGGCTCAGGAAGGGGTAATAAACTCTATTGAAATAGAAACCCACCTGGTGACTTAATAACATCTGAAAATACTACCCAGTGTCTGAATAATCCCTTCTTCCTTAAGCTGTCCATAATGCTGTAGTCATGATTTCAAGCTAGCTGTTCTTACTGCATTTTTCCCATCATTTTCAGACTTGCTTTGGGTCCTCTGTTATTTATTTTTTTAAGTTTTGGCAGTGTTTGTTATAAAGCAAAGCTGGTGTATCTGTGAGGTCTCCATAAATTGATAGTGGGTTTTGGGTCTCCTAGGTTTGATACATCTCAGCCCAGTTTATGGGATGATTTCTTTAAAAGCTTTTATGCACAAACTTATAGCTCTGTGTAAATTCCTTTATCTTAACACAATTGAGGTGTGTGGTCATAGCAACACTACCATGTCAGGAATGTGTGCCCTCTGAGTACATTTCACCGGTATGAATGATTATCATCTGTACATGCTTGCTCATTTATTCAACAAGCACTTGCTGAGCCCTTCCTCCTCTGGTAGAAGTGTTAGAGTCTCAGAAAAAGAAGATGCTGCGTGTCTTTATAACATATGTTGGCAAATGTTAATGCAAAGTAGAATGTGCCATGTATTTTGGATATTCTGGTTTTTATTTATTTATTTTTATTTTCCTTCCCACTGTTCTCATCTGGTAGACAGTCTGAAAATGGAGGGATCAGTTTTGACCTCAGGGGCCTGAAAGTAGCTCTAAGCACAGGGCAGGGTGCATATGCAGTATGCAGAGAAAACTAAGCAGGTGGCATTTATGCTGAATCTTGAATTATTGGTAAATGTTTAATAGGTAGGATGTTCTCTTAGAAAGTTATCTGTTCCTTACCATCTGAGGGCCAATCTTAGTGGTTCTGCCATTGTTTCAGTAGAAATGCTTGGTAAATACACCTGGGATTTTTTTTCCTCTAAAATAATCCCAGAAAAAAACGTCTACATGAACTCAAAGTGAATATTTAGAAGCTTTTTCAAAAAATTTATAGAGCCGAGTACAGTGGGATTATGGTAACCTATAATCCCAGCTAACTGGGAGGCTGAGGCAGGAAGGTTGCTTGAGCCCAGGAGTTCAAGACAAGCCTGGGCAACATAGCAAGACCCTGTCTCAAAAAAAAAATTACAGATAAGTGTTCTTATATTTTAAGCATTTAGGTTATTAGAGATATTTTTTCTTATTATAAATAGTTGTATGACTGTTATTTAAGACTGTTTACTCTTTAAATTTTTTTTTCTTTTTCTATATGTATTCTGCTTATGTAGGGACTGTTTACTTTTGATTCAAAAAAGAAACTGAATGTTTGGAATATGTACATGTGAATCAAATCCCTAAACATAGTAATATTTCTTTTCCAGATTATGTCCCTATTGGCCCTCGATTTTCAAATCTTGTATTACAGGCTCTTCTCGTTTTACTGAAAAAGGCACCTCCTCAGGTAAAATAATACTACTGATATGGAATATTTTAACAAAGGGTTTTTCAGTAAATTGCATATAATGATGCAGTCTCTAAATAAGCAGGTTATCATAAACATAAAATTCTGTTGTTGAAAGGATTTTGAAAGGTCATCTGGTCTTGACTTCTGCTTAAGGTAAATTATTTTCTCAACATAATTTTTCCATTCCTTTTCTGAAGAAATCAAAATCTCACAGTTTCTGTGTGGGATACAACAATTAGCATTGTATTTTGTTGTTTTGTAAGTTTTCCACCATATTACATATCCCTACCACCTCCAACTCCCAAGGGAGATTATGCTATTAATAGAGAAGGCATTGAATATGTTCCCATTTGTTTCATTTATAATTTCATGGGTTTTCCTAAAAATTTGTTTATGGGGATATTTAAGTTTATTTTCTTTGGGCAGTTAAAAAAAAAAAACTATTTTTAACAGATGATCTGGAGTTATTTTTCTTGGGTCATGTGGCACTTTTAAGGAGTGAATTTATAGCCAGGATCTTGGTTCCTGTGGTTGCATTTTTACTGATGTGGCTATTAGAGACTTGTGATTTTGGTAGGTTAACAAATTTAAAACCAACCTATGAAGGTTGGTTAAATATGTTAATTATGTAGAGGCTGCCAGAGCATGTTTGGCTGTGTCACAAGACATGAGTTCTCTTGATTGATTCTGCATACTGTAACCTTGAAAAATGCCAATCAAAGGCAGGTACAAAGCAGTTAAACACTGACTTGAAAAGCATCTTAATGTCTGTATGAGAATCTCATATTTAAAGTCAGAAATAGAAACTAATCTGTAAGGAAAACATTTACTCTTAAACTGGTGAATCTAATTTTTAGTTTAACAGTTACATACGTGCGTGTATTTTGCACTTAAAAGTAAAGGACTTGTCTTGGTTTTCCTAGAGTTTTTTTTTTAACTTCTAAAATAGTGAGAAGAAACATAACCTATAACAGTCTTGAAAATTTACAGGCCGGGCGCGGTGGCTCAAGCCTGTAATCCCAGCACTTTGGGAGGCCGAGGTGGGTGGATCACGAGGTCAGGAGATCGAGACCATCCTGGCTAACACGGTGAAACCCCATCTCTACTAAAAATACAAAAAAAAAAATTAGCCGGGCGTGGTGGCAGGCGCCTGTAGTCCCAGCTACTCGGGAGGCTGAGGCAGGAGAATGGCGTGAACCCAGGAGGCGGAGCTTGCAGTGAGCTGAGATAGTGCCACTGCACTCCAGCCTGGGCGACAGAGCAAGACTCTGCCTCAAAAAAAAAAAAAAAAAAAAAAAAAGAAATTTACAACATATATGTATTGTGGAAGGATTTTTAAATCAGCTTTGCATCAACCATCATTCCTAATAATTGGAGTCTTAGCTTATACTAAGGGTGAAGTTAGAGAAATGAGTCGATTCCTGCAGTATTTTCATAAATAAGTAAACGTATATATCTAAAGTTGCTGAAACAGAAATAATTACCTCCCAATATCTACATATATCATGATTCCTCCAGTATTTTCATAAATAAGTAAAACATATATATCTAAAGTTGCTGAGACAGAAATAATTACCCCCCAGTGTCTACATATATCATGCACACAAAAAACTTTAGCATATCAGCATATTAATTTTAAAACCTATTAGAATGTGGGACTTTTTCTAGGCATTTAAATTTATTTCTTAAAATATTTCTTTTTTCAGCTGAAAATAATTTATGCTAAAAGTCACTTGGGAGAAGGAAGAATAATTTCATTGCTGTCTTGTACTTCTTGTTCTTTACATTGTTAAATACTATACACATTGATTTAAACAGAGGTACACCCCCTTGGCTAAGAAGCATTTGTGATCCAAAGTAGATGCTAACAGAAATAAACAGAAACTATTAACGAATGACCTGCCACACTAAGATTTAAGAATAATTTTTTCTGTGTTGTAAAACTTATTGTAAGATTTTTTAGGGAAGGAACATTATCTTATGCTTTTAAATCTCACAGCCTATGGCATAGAGGTTTATACATACGTGATTCACCAATACCTTATCAACAAAAAAATTTTTTTAGTGTCTTTTCATTTTAGTGGGCTTAATTAAGGGTTTTCGTATTGCTGGAGTTTATATTTAGACAGGGCATGATAAGAGTGAAAACATTCAAAAATAAGTAAAGTTCAGATGGCCAATAAGTATAAGAAGAGGTACTCAACATCATTAGTTATCAGAGAAATGCAAGTCAGAACCAATAGTGAGATACCACTCACTGCATACCTGCTAGAATGGCTATCATCAAAAAGTCAGATAATGACAAGTGCTGGTGAAGATGTGGAGAAATTGGAACCTGTATGCACTGCCGGTGAGAATGTTCCTCAAGAGGTTAAGCATAGAGTTACCATATAACCCAGCTATTCCACTGAGTATACACCTACAAGCAATGAAAACATATGTCCACATGAAAGCTTGTATGTGAGTATTCATAGCAGCATTATTCATAACTAAATGTTTATCTTATAAAATCTGGTATATCCATATAATGGAATATTACTCAGCAATAAAAAAGGTAGTACCATACATGCTACAACATGAATGAACTTTGAAAACATGCTAAGCAAAAGGAACCAGTCAAAAAGACCACATATTGGATGATTCGAGTTATGTGAAATGTCCAGGATTGGCAGATCTATCAAGACCGAAAGTATATTTGGGATGGCCTAGGGCTGGGAGGGGAGAATGAGAAGAATGAGAGGTCACTGCTAATGGGGATGGATTTTCTTTTTGGAGTGACAGAAATGCTGGAAAATTGATTTTGGTGGTGTTGTGTCTATCTGTGAATATACTAAAACACTGAATTGTACACTTTAAATGGGTAAACTGTGTGCTCTGTGAATCATATCTCAAGCAGTTATGTTTTTTAGACGTGATTTAGAAGCTACTTAAATGATGAAAGGAGACATAGAGTTAGAAGTGAGGGGTGAGCATCCAAGGTACATGGCCCAGCTTGGGAGAAAAAGGAATTGGATCATTTAAAAAGAACATGGAATGAATGTATCTGAGGACTGAAGAGGAAGAATATAGAAATATGTAAGAAGTAAGAGATGTGGTTGCCTTAGTGATTGGAAATGGCAGGGGTTCTCTCTGAAGGGAACACCATCTGGTCATTAATCAGAATTTGGTGACTCTGACCTGGACTGCCAGATTACCTGCAGTATACATGAATCAGTGGCAGGATAAATTAATATTTGTAGTATTTCTAGTTGGCATATATTTAACAAAATAAAAATGTGCTTTGTCATACCACCTTGCTTTTTAAAATGTTTATATTCTCTCAAGAAAATAAGGGGAAATTTTCAGGCTGATCCAAGTGTCAAGAGTATTAGTCATTGTAAAGTGGAAGGATTCACTTTATCAAACCATTAGCATATAGGTTTTTCAGATGTTTTAGTTAAATATTAAAGGTATATTCAGCTAAATATTGTAGAAATGCTTAGAGTGGTAGAAAAATATTTATTACTGGTAAGAAAACACAAGTTGTGAGCATTTTTCTTTAAAAGGAGGAACTACACTTTACACACAATACAGTAATCATATCAGTCACTGAATCCTCAATTTTGCATTTGTTGAATTTCCAGCTTTCACACAGAAAAATTGTGTGTGCATGTGTGCACATACTCAAATAAAAGAATCCCTTCAGGGGCACTATGTTGTTATGTATCCAGATATTCTCTTTTCTCCTTCCTCCCCTCCCCCACCACCCCTTCCTTCTTGTAAATTGGCTTATTAAAACTGGTTCCCAAGCCCTCCTTTTTTCCCTTTGTGATTGCCTTAGTCTTGGATTTTCAGTGTAGAACTAAAAATTCATGTCAGATTTCAGTTACTAGGATAATTTTGTTTGAATTTTAAATTTTTCTAAGTAAATGCATAGATTTTTAATGAACCTGGTATTCAGTGGATTTGCTTTAAATTTAGCTGCAGAGTTAATTTCATGATTGATTTATTAGCCCTTTGAAAGTATAAAAAGTGGTATCTGTAGTTCGTGAAGACTGAAAAACATCATCACATTTTGTTTAGCATCTTTTTAAAACCAATTAAAAGCTTTTCTAAAATGGATTGAACAGGAGAAAATAAAACATGTTCCCTAGGTCTTTATTTCAATCAAGTTTCCCTGTGTTCTGCAGGAGAAGAGATCGAGAGGGGATAGAAAAATTGAAAAGGGCTGTCCCAGCAGGGAGCCAAGCCGGAGAAAAGGGCTTCTCTGAGAACTCAGCAGCAGCAGCTAAGAAAGCTCCCAGCCTGCTTCATCTACATGCAGAGTCACACAAGGCATGGGGGTGCTCACCGTCACACAGAGGTTTCACATGTGCTTCCCTGCTGATTCCTGTGAAAAGCTAACAATTGGCTTGGAGGGTAAAAGACCACTGCAGTTCACCCTCCCTGAGCTGGACGTACAATTTGTCCAGTGTTAGGAAATGTCCGGCTTAGCAGTGAGAGGCTTGAAGACACCCCTCCTTCCAGTGAGATCCTAACGCCGTCTCTTTTACTTGATGACACTGGGGCTCTTTTCAAGTTTTGCAGATTTATGGAAGTTGAGGGGAATGTGCTTTTCAAGATCAGGAGGATGAAAGCCTTGGTCTCAATGTCAAAGAGGAAGCAGTAGTGAGTGGTAAGGCCAGGTAACTCTTCCTGCAGCCTGCAGCACCAGTGGCTTGATTATTTTCCTCATAGATCTCTTCTGCCACCTTTTTTTTCTTTTTGGGAGACAAAGTGTCTGAAAATGAGCTCCTTGGGCTGTAAAATGACATGATTTCCCAGTTTCCTCAACAAGTGTGAGAGTAGTTAAGCCTATTAACCTCACTGTTTAATGCTGGGTTTGACACTTTTGTGCATCAAACTGGAAAACCTCATCTGTATGTAACAGGGTAACCTTGTAATTTATGGAGGAGCAATCCTTCCTCAGTTCAGTGCTTCTCAACCTTTTTAGATCATGGTGCATATGAAATGGTAACATCTGATGATACACTTGGGTAAGTGGATGAGGCCACTCACAACTGGCCAAGGGTCTGGCCCTCCCGACAGCTGGCAGGAGTTGATATCTTAGTCCACGTATAACTCATGTGAAGCTGAACAGTTGGAAAACTCTTTGGAAATGTTAAACTTTTACGAAAAAAGAATTAACCACTCTAACTTCATAGCAGTATTACTGAAGTAGAACTCAGACCTAACAGTTATTAGTGTTTTGGCTAAATTTTATGATGTTGTTGAGAATAGTAACTTCCTCGCTCCTCTGACACCTAGGAATATTACCTAGTAAGAGAAATACAGCTTAAAGCTTGGAGGACCTAAGGTGCGAACCAACAAGAAACTGTCAGCATTCTCGGGATGGGGACTTGGGCAGACACACTTGTTTCTGCATGAGTTTTGTTTTTAACATCAGCAGTCTCTAGACAACATTGCTTTTCGTGTAGTCCTTACATGACATCTTAGCAGTCTTACTTCAGATATGGTTATTAGGACGTCTTGGTATCTTGATAATATTAAGCAGCTCTTCAGGCTTTGGGTTGCTTTAGTGAAATAAGCAGAAAATAGAAGAGACTCCACATAATGCAGGCCTAAACATGAGTATCTTTCCATCTATTTGTTCGAAATTAACTCTGGCTAATGACTATGATATGACTCAGTAAGATATATAACCACTTTAGGAAAGAGGCTTAGTCATTTTGCCAGACACATTAATTTTAATCCACTGATGTGGTGACTTTTGCATTGGGCTTCATTTCTTTTATTTAAAAAAAAAAAAAAGAGAGAAAACTATGACGATTGACAGCTTAGTGGCCTGCTTATTAAGTCACTGATATTAGATGGCTACTATATTTGTAATATTCTCTTTAGGTATACTTTGCTTAGTATAGTAGATTTTCTTGGAAGTCCTATGTAAATTGAACATGTGTATGTATATATATATACACATATCTCTGAGGACAAAAGGAAATCTCCAAAGATGTGTGTTCTTGTTTTCTGGACAGAAAGATAATGTATAGTGAATGTATAGTGATCAACTAAGATGATGCCTAGTGAAGCCCTTTGTAAACCTGTGGACTACACAGATATACGGTATTAGAGAAAATACATATACATAGAGAGAGTATATATTTATGTAGATTAATTTCAGATGTATCAAAAACAGTGAAATAGGCCAAACATTGTGGCTCACGCCTGTAATCCTAACACTTTGGGAGGCCAAGACAGGAAAATTGCTTAAGACAGGAGTTCAAGACCAGCTTAGGCAACATAGTGAGACCCAGTCCTTACAAAAAAAAAAAAGTTAGTCGAATGTGGTGGTGAGCATCTGTAGACCCAGCTATTCAGGAGGCTGAGGCAGGAGGATCACTTGAGCCCATGAGTTCAAGACTGCAGTAAGCTGATTCCCGCCACCACACTCTAGCCTGGGTGATAGAGCAAGACTCTGTCTCTAAAAACCAAACAACAAAAAACAGTGAAATAAATTCTTTTATAAAACATTGCTACAGATATCTGCTGAATAAAATCAAACTTTCAAAATAGGGTTTTATTTTGGTTTTGGTAGAGCACATCTATAGCAGATATTGATACCAGATTAAATTATATATATGCCATTTTCTGATAACTCAAAATTAAATATTTAAATTTTAATCATCAGAAAAATGCTAATAGTGTTGAGATGAAATATTTTTTCATTGCTAGAATGTATTCTTCCAGCTCCATTGCCTTAAATAAGTTACCGTGGCATTCCATTAGCTTTGAAAGGTGTGGATTATAGCATTGTAGTATTCCATGGGTGCCATGACTGTAGTTAAGAGCACCCTTTCTGTAGAACTTACTCTTTGTATTGAACTTGAGGTTTAAAAAAAAAAAAACAAAACCTAAGTCTTAGCTCATGTATCATCTGGCTTTATAGCCTTGAACGTCCCTTAATTTCTTGGTGTCTATTTCTTCATCTGTAAAATAGAGATAATTCCTCCTGTGTTACCTACTCTGTTGAGGGTCAACTAAGATAATGTATAATGAAGCCCTTTGTAAACTGGTGTACTACGTGAGCTGTCCAGGCACAGTGGCTTATGCCTGTAATCCCAGCACTTTGGGAGGCTGAGACGGGTGGATCATTTGAGGTCAGGAGTTCGAAACCAGCCTGGCCAACATAGTGAAACCCCATCTCTACTAAAAATACAAAAATTAGCTGGATGTGGTGGTGTGCACCTGTAATCCCAGCTACTCGGGAAGCTGAGGCAGGAGAATTGCTTGAACCCAGGAGATGGAGTTTGCAGTGAGCTGAGATTGTACCACTGTACTCTAGCCTGGGTGGATGGAGTGATACTCTATCTCAAAAAACAAAACAAAAACAAACAAAAAAAAAAGAATTGCCTTTGGATAGTCCACAGAACCTTTTCAGCTTGTAAGATAGGAAAACTGAAGAATGTATAATAACTGCTATATAGAGGAAGTTACCATAGGAAATGAGTTCAGAGCTCCCACTTTGGAATGCCCGAACCCAGCTTCCTCATTTGCAGTACTGAGAAAGGAAACCTTCTTCCCCACCTGTTGTTCACTGAAATTTAGAAGCTTCCTACAATCTAAGACAAATACTCTGGTCTGGGGATTAGGGATTCCTGTTGTAAAAAGAAGTAGGAAGTGGAGACAGGAATTGCCAAGATCAGTAGGCCACCACCGTGTCACACTTGTCCTCAGCCTCCAGGGACTGGCCCACCTGCTTCCTTTCCCTGCCACCACCTGTTGGCTTGTGGCCGAAGTTCCCCTTTTCTCTTAACTCATGGTGCAACAAAGTGGTACTTCACCGTTTCTTTCCTACCTTTCTGTCCCAGAAACAAGAATGCAGGTCTTTGGAGATTTCCTGTGTCCTTGGGGCTCTCACAATGGCCAGAAGCCCTGGCCCTCACCCTGTTGATCTTAGATGGTAGGATTATAGGTGATTTCTTTTTTATTTTGCTTTATTGTTTCCTGTGCTTTACAGATTTTCTACAATAAGCATATATTACTTTGACAATCAGGAAAAAATTAAAAAAAGTATATACAATTATTTTTAACTTAGCAGTATAACTGTCAAAATTCCTTAATTCCATTTCTTTGGTACTAATTTACTGTTAACCACTAGAGTTAAATGAGACTACCTTTATATCTGAACTCGTCTATGTATAATATATTTTTAACCTTGTTCTTTTTATGACTTAAGGTTTAATTGACTATATGAAATATGCTGTGGTTTTGGAGGAAAAGTGTGCAGGTGCCTCCTAACTCTCACAGTTGCCCTGGGAAGCCCACCTGGCACTTGGCTCAGTGCCATGCTCCCCATCTAAACTTACGATGGTTGAATGCCAGTGTGACTAAAGCTAATCAAGATAAATGGTGATGTTGTCTTAAGCTTCATTGAAAGGAGATCGGAGGTTTCTTTTTCACCAAAAATATTTCTTTTGACATAAAAGTTTAAAACATTTCTTTAAGGAACATCTGCTTTTATTAGGATGTACATTTAAGAAATCCTTCTCAGTATAGAGATAAAAAGATGAATAAGACATTGTACCTGCCCTCAGACAGCTCATAGTCCAAGAACACTGTTCAGTTGTGAAGTTTGTGCACAAGGCGGGCACAGGTCAAGTAGCAAATGAAGGTTAACATCCAGCCCACATGCTGCCCCCAAGGAGTCCACCCTGGTTTGGGACTGAATCTGCCCTGAGTAAGGTTACCAGATTTAGCAGATAGGAATATAGGATACTCAGTTAAATTTAAATTTCAGAAAAAATCACGTAATTTTTTAGCATCAGCATATCCCATATTTTGGTCAGACTTACATTGAGGGCTTTCTCTAGCAAACCTAGTCCTGAACAAGAGGAAGGGGGTGCCTTTAGCTCATACAAGGTGCTGAGGCTTGGGGAAGGAAGCAAGGGTGGCCACACCCACCCAGATGATTGCTTTTTTCTAATTTGTTCACCTGGGGGGGTGGGGTGTGTGTGTGTGTGTGTTTCTGATCCATGTAGAAGGTAACTGGTGTTCCTGTCACAATCCAGTGTGGGAGAAAGATGTGAAAACATGATGCATGTAGTTAGGTTTTATATGTTACATGGTTCCAGTGGAACATAAAGGAAAGTGTGGTCCATTTTATCTGAGAAGATGTGCAAATCATTCACAAATAGTAGTTCTTGATCCTGGTCTTGAAAGATGAGTAAAAGGGAGATTTAGTCAGGGCCATTGTGCCATGCTAAGGAATTTCAGTGCTGCAGCAATGGAGAGAGAAGGTGAAGGATTTACCTATGCCAAAATTAGCATATTATTATTGTTATTATTATTATTAGAGACAGGGTCTTGCTTTGTTGCCCAGGGTGGAGTGCAGTGACACAGTCTCATTTACCTCCTGGGCTCAATTGATCTTCCCGCCTCAGCCTCTGGTGTAGCTGGGACAACAGGTGCACACCACCACCCCAGCTAATCTTTGTATTTTTTGTATAGACAGGGTTTTGCCATGTTACCCAGGCTGGTCTCAAACTCCTGGGCTCAAGCAGTCCACCCACCTCAGCTTCCCAGAGTGCTGGGATTACAGGTGTGAGCCACCACACCCAGCCTAAATTTTTTTAATTAACGTACAAAATGATACTTGAGAATTTGAGGATATGTTCTGTGTACTTATCTTAGGCTTCATATGGCATAGTTTCACTGGAGGGAAGAATAGGAATTCATAAGAAATTATAGGCTTCATTTTTTCTAAATGACTGAAGCTTAACCTCTTTAAATATCAATTGTTATACTTTAGCCTTTTTTAAGAGGAAAAAAATTGCTATGTACATTCTTAGTGTCTGAAGCAAAGTATAATAAATGCTATGTTAATGAATAAGGACCATCATAACAAACCATAATTGGTGGGTCAGTATTTTCATGAGTGGGACTCAGCAGGAACTGTTGGAATATACAGGACTCTGTCCTGGTGCCTGTTAGGTAGCTACAGTGTGCCCTGTTTGTTGAGTTTTGTGTGCCTTTTCTTTTTTTAGTGGTTTTGCTATCAGCTGTTACTTGCAGGATCCAAGTGAATTGTGTCAGCTGGCCTGCCTCTGATGACTCCTTTTTCCAGGTTGCTGCTTTCATCTGCTATAAATTAAGGCAGGCAACCACCAGGATTCATGAGCTGTTCATACAGTAAGAGAACTAGTCTGTGGTCGGGTGCAGTGGCTCACGCTTATGATCCCAGCACTTCGGGAGGCCAAGGCAGGAGGATTGCTTGAGTCCAGGACTTCTAGACCAGCCTGGGCAATATGGCGAAACCCCGTCTGTACTAAAAATACAAAAAAGACCGGGCATGGTGGCTCACGCCTGTAATCCCAGCACTTTGGGGGGCCAAAGTGGGTGGATCATTCAAGGTCAGGAGTTCGAGACCAGTTGGCCAATATGGTAAAACCCCGCCTCTACTAAAAATACAAAAATTAACCAGGCATGGTGACAGGCATCTGTAGTCCCAGCTACTCAGGAGGCTGAGGCAGGAGAATCTCTTGAACCTGGAGTTGGAGGTTGCAGTGAGCCGAGATCGCACCACTGCACTCCAGCCTGGGCGATAGAGCGAGACTCTGTCTCAAAAAAAAAAAAAAGCCAGGCGTGATGGTGCACACCTGTAATCCCTAACTGCTTGGGAGACTGAAGTGAGAGAATCACCTGAGCCCAGGAGGTCGAGGCTGCAGTGAGTGGAGATCATGCCACTGCACTCCAGCCTGGCAAACAGAGTGAGACTTTGTCTCGAAAAAACACAAAAACATAAAACTGGGCTGCAATGAGAGCTAGAGAGGCCTTCCAAAGAGCAAGGCCCCATTTTGACTCCTATGGGCACCTTCATCTACTGAAAAAAAAAAAAAAAAAAATGACATTTTCCATCTCTTGGTACAAAGCTGAATATATTACTCTTATTAATACTGTCTTCCACCAAAAAGTTCTTTTTTTCTGATTTTTTTTTTTTTTTCCTGGAGTGCAGTGGTGCGATCTCAGCTCACTACAACCCCTGCCTCCCGGGTTCAAGCAATTCTTGTGCCTCAGCCTCCCAAATAGCTGGGACTACAGGCACGTACCACCACACCCAGATAATTTTTTGTGTTTTTAGTAGAGATGAGGTTTCACCATATTGGCCAGACTGGTCTCAAACTCCTGGCCTCAAGTGATCCACCCTCTTCAGCCTCCCAAAGTGCTGGGATTACAGGCCTGGCCTGATTTTAAAAGAAACTAGAATAATACTTTCATGGGTTCCTCAAAGTTTCATAGGCCCTGGGCACTGTGCCTAGTGGGTAAGTTGTCCTTGCCTATGAGTTTTAAAGTTACTTGAACCTCACATTGTTTTTTCAGTCCTAGGAGTGAGAGGATTTTTGCTTATTTCTGGTTCTTGGCTGTGCTCTGGATAGTTGAAATTGTTTAGCAGATTGGCCTCCAGATAAGTAAGGCATTATTATTGGACATAGTGAATTCATGTTCTGGAAGGTTGGGGCCTAAGGGAGCAAAGTGGGCTCTGTAGAGTTAAATGAGGGCAGAGTATGGTGAGAAGGCAAATTTTGAACCTTCATTGTGAACATGAGATAATTGCAAATTGGCCTAAAACTGGGAAAAGCATTTTAATAAACAGAAATGCTATGGATAAAAATCACAGAGGTAGAAATTAAGTCAGAAAGGAGAATATTGACCTAATTTAGAACACAGGGGTCAATTTAGGGTATATCAAGCTAAAAGCTCAGACAGGTAGGGAAAATCTGTGGATACAAAAGTGGGGAGTTTGGATTTGCTGATTAATGTGTGGTCATGTTAGTTAAGTTTCTAATGAGAGAGCCTGCACAGAACCCTTCCTTTTTTTTTTTTTTTTTTTTTTTGAGACGGAGTCTCGCTCTGTCACCCAGGCTGGAGTGTAGTGGTGCAAT